CACGCTTCCAAAAGTATTTCACGAAAAGCCTAAATAACATACTTATATTCGAAAAGCGCAGTAATTTCAACCAATTAACCAAACACAAAAAATACTTTTTTGTATTTCTATCCCCAGTGCTTTTTCAACATAACTTATTTAATAAAAAATTACTTCCGTCGTCAGATGGGTGAAAGTCCGAGCTTAATAAGGATCCTGTACTATTCTGTCAGGCACAGTATCGCGTTGAGGATCTGGGTATCTACATTCATGAATAATGTGAATGGAGAACTCGAGGCGGAGGCCATGATGTCGAGCCACAGCACCAACGCGCATTAAACGTCTGTACAACATGTCAAAAACAATTTAGAAACTCACCGAAGAAAATGTATGTAATAATTGCACGCGTCATCGCTCATCGCAACAATGTTGATCCCCATTCTTTGATCAGCCTTCAGTGACTTAATATTGCAGCCGAAAATCCGCAGCTGTCAACCTTCGTCTCGGATGTCTTCTGGACACATGCCGTCCACCATATTCTGCAATGGTTTCCTGAAAGACTCTGATGGAGCAACAGGCTTGAGAGTGTAGGACAGCTCATGGACATCTCGTCGTGAACTTCCGTTTCGTGATTTTGGGAACTATAAAAAATGACACACAAAAAATAAAAACATATACGTTGTTTTGCAGATAAGCTAACATTCAAATACTTACCATTTGCTGTATGACCAGAGAGGCTCAAGGGAAGTAAGTGTCCTTCGGTAGTAAAAATGAACTCGTCCATAATTCAAAACTATTTCATCTTTGTCAGAGAATAAGAGAAACAGATATTTCAACCGTCTCCTTGCTAGTACAAACGAGTCAATCCTGTCTTCTGTTTTCCAGTTGTTAAGGTCGTTCACAGCGGCGTAACCACAAGGCACTCTGTTATTACCCCAAATTGCAGTATAGTGAAGGGCCCAGCAATTGATAATTTTACCTTTGATAAACACATTCCACCAGAAGCTACCTGATTCAGTTGAAAGCCAATCGCTCATACAGGGTGTTCCAGAAGTTGACGTCAAGCCAGAATTCAAGTCATAATAATTATCAGAAAAATATAAAAAACATCTAGGTCGTGTACTTTTCAAATTATAGGCTTTAAAAAATATCGAAAAAATCTACACCTGTGATGATCTTTTAGTTTCCATTACTACAAATTTCAATTCTTTTTTAGACTGAGTGAAGGACAGTGTCATTCTGCGTAGTGGCATCAAGACAGATAGTAACGCCACTTTTAATAATTCGTGAATGTATTTATTAAATTCACAATGATTCTTCAAACTGCATACCTTCAGGAGCAATGCAAGATTGACATCTTAAAATGATCGGGTTATCAGACGGAATCTTTCGTTATTAACAAATTCAGCTGCTTCCGTTATTCTGTCCCGTACCTCAGCTAAATTTTTGATTGGCTTTGAGTAACCTTTTTCTTTCACCGCTCCACTGTAAAAAAAACGAGTGGATTCACGTCAGGTGAACGGGATGGCCACGAAATTGTACCAGACCGCCATATCCCGTAGTGCGCCGGGGAGCCCGTATTGCTGGTACCACATGAATCTCCAATTGCTTAGTGACACGTCTTACAATAAATTTCACACGACTTAATGTTTTTATATTTTCTGATGGCTAGTATGACTTGGCCTATTTCCCTTTTCGCCTTGATGTTGACTTCTGGGACACCCTGTATATATGGCGACCACCACCTATCTTTTGATGCCAGCATTGACTATTGCAGCAGGTTTTGAAATGTTTTACCGTCTTGAGAAAACAGGATACGATGGCTTAGACGGATGGCGCTCGACCAGTATTTACTGTGGTTCGATAAGTCAATATTTACTGATGATTCCATCAGCGTCAGTTGTTTTCTACGTCTGATACATCAAACTATTGAAGTCCATGCTACACAGTCAATAACTACAGGGACTGTCCGGAAAGTAATAGGACTCATTTTCTTCCGCCATGACTGTACTTCGGAGCGTGCGCGCACCGACTGGCTTCGGTAGAGCGCGTTCCTAGCTAACGAATGAGCGGCTGGTCCGTTGTCTCCGAGCACTTGGAGAGTCAGGACAGGCATTTTCGCGTGACGTGTTTCTGTGAGTGGTGCAAGCCGAAACTGCAGCGTTCGTTAGAGCAGAGGTACGCGATTAAATTATGTGTGAAACTCGGTAATTCTGCGACAGAGACGTTTGATATGATCAAGCAGGCTTACCCAGGTGTTGCTTTAGCAAGAAGAGGTGTGTTTCGGTGGCACCAGGCCTTTTTGGAGAGCCGGGAAGAGGTCGCTGATGAAGACCGTGCTGGAAGACCTTCGACTTCGACAAACACCGATAATGTGACTCGTGTGCGCAAAGTTTTGAACTCAGACCGTCGACTAAGTATTCGTTGAATTGTCCAAGTGTTAAATTTACCAAAATCTGTGGTTCATGATATTGTGACACAGCATTTGAACATGCGCAAGGTGTGCGCGAAGATGGTCCCAAAAGTGCTCACTGACGACCAGAAATTGCGGCGAGTGGAAGTGTGACAAGAAAATTTGAACATGTATGAAAGTGACCCCCAATTTTTGAATAACGTAATCACAGGTGACGAGTCGTGGATCTTTATGATCCCGAGTCAAAGAGGCAATCTTCCGAGTGGCACACGACGGCGTCTCCTCGCCCAAAAAAGGGAAGAATTAGCAAATCCAAAGTGAAAACGATGCTCATTGTCTTTTTGACATCAAAGGCATCGTCCACCATGAATTTGTTCCTCCTGGACAAACCGTCAACGCCAAGTTTTACGTGGAAGTGCTCAGGAGACACAAACGAAGGGTCAGTCGGGTCCGACAAGACATCGCAGCCGACTGGAAGTTGCACCACGACAACGCCCCGGCTCACATCGCCTTTCTTGTGAACAACTACCTGAACAAGGGCGACATCCCAACGCTTCCGCAGCCGCCCTACAGCCCAGATGTGCCCCCCGGACTTTTTTTTGTTTCCTCGCCTGAAAAGGCCGATGAAAGGCAAGCATTTTGAGACGACAGAGGGGATCCAAGCAGCATGCACCGCGGCTCTCAAGGCTATTCCGGAGAATACCTTCCGTGACGCCTTCAATGCTTGGAAATCGCGCTGGCAGCGCTGCATCGACGCAGAAGAAGCCTATTTTGAAAGTTTTTAAAGAATTTTCCTATTACATTCCGGACAAACCCTGTATCACATTCGATCACAATACTGATCGTCTGACATTCCATTTACAAATAATTACGAGTGTTGCTATGTTTAGAAAGAAAATGGATAATTACTGTGATCCTATTTGGTAACATTGTTGGAAATTGTATGCAAAAGTCCAAATACAGCATAGGGTTGGGTATCTTCTAGGAGAATATGTCAATCAATGATTTTACTAAGTTCTCACCTGGCGTATTTCTGTAAGCTTTTCAACACATTTTTCCCGACCTCTAGATAGTAAGGATCTCCCGTAGCCGTGTATAAGAAATAGGTGGACTCCAAGAACTCGGGCCTTAGCGGGTGGTTGCCCCAATGTACTTGAAAATCGGTGGTGAACGCCTCCGGGATGAACTTGTGGCGTTGCATGACTTGGTAAAGCATTTCGTGCGTTTCGACAGCTGGTTTCAGGTCACCTTTGAGAACTTGCAGACCTGGCCAAAAAGCCAGCAAGGCATCCATGTAATTACGGGAGTTCGTATGAGGTCTACAACAAAATAGAACGTTAATTAATGATATAGCAGTCAGCTTATACATTATTCAGTTTTCAGAAAATATGATAAAACAATGGGAACTATTATTTCACAGCAAGCAGACTACTTGTGTGTGTTAAATCGTTCATCAAATCCAGATCGCGCCATTATACCAGAAAATCCTAATTAAGCTACAGGAACAACCAATCACAGACCTACCTGTCCACTCAGTCCTTCACGAGCCAGGGTATCAAAGGAGTGGACAACACAATTTCTTGCAACCCTCCATAAGGACTGAAAGTGCAATCTCTCTCCTCGCGTGGCTTTACAAAGGAGCCACGCGGGCAGGGCACATCTGATCATAGTTGCCTTAAGACCATCGGATGCTCCCACAAATACAAAGAGATCGTTCCTGCCAGATATCTGGCACAAATAAATTAGTATGGCTCTCCTTCGGCGAGCCCAATCATTGCTTAGGCTAAGTAGCAGACGGATACCATACCGACGGCTTAGAGGCGCTTTCTTTTGTAAACTTGTAATTTTTAATATGTGAGATAAATAAGTTCTGATTGATAGAAAACAGTGCTAGGGCAATCTGATTTTTTCAATTGGAAATTTTAATAGTTGAAGTATCAACTCGTATTTAGAAGTCCTAACTTATAACAAACAGCAAGCAACAATTGGTGGCTCACAATAAAAAAACAAATTCAATTAAATCCAATTATATTAAATCTAAATATTGCTATTTCTTGTATGCATGACAAATGCTTTCTCTCCATCGTTTATTAGATTTGGTAGATTATCATATTCCTCAGACCTTTGTAGATGATTTTTTTTATTGTTCACACTTTATTGGTTTTAATTAAATGAAAATAGGAGTTAGTTCTGGTGTAACAGGTATTGATTTCATTGATTCTTCGCAGGAGTGCAGCTACGCAATTATAGTCAACGCCAAACAAAGTGGCGTGCACGTCATCACGATAAAAATTCCCCGACCCAATGCCTAGGTTTCTATCACAAACAATTGCTCTATTGCAGTTTCATATTAATGTGATATATAAATTGTAAAATGGTCATTACTCTCTTATTATGGTTAATAGTCATATAAACATGTTATTAAAATATCACATAAGTTGCTTTCTGATAAATTTAGACGCATTATGCGAAATAAAATGTTTTTGCAAACGCTCCAATCACTTATCGACATGTAAACGCACTAAACCGATTTCGCAGCGTTGACACATTGTCACCTTGAAACTTATTTAAACTGGGAACTGACATTTGTATTAATTTTGACACTGAATCAATTTGTGGCATTTCAAATCTTTATAAATCCTTTGGCCCCGCATACTGTAAATCAACAACTGTTTGTTTCAAAACAAAATTATTCATTTTACGAGTAGATAAAGGCAATTTTGGTATATAAAGATGCCCAAACAGTTAAATAGTCGGTGTAAGGAACTCGTGGCCTCGTTAATGCACTACTTTGAGCAAGAAAGGGACAACAACGGGCCTTTGTTGCCTTTAAATGCTGTTCAAGAGGTAGGTTACTAATAATTATATGTAATGTATATTAATAATAGTGAAATTTTATTTCATTTTTTGTAGCGTGTTGCTGCTGCTTTAAAAATTAGTTTAAGGACAGTTAGTCGTATTTCCGAGGGTGTGAAAAGTGATGCAAATTTAGAATCGCCCAAGAAAAAGCGGAGTTATATTAAACGTGTAACCAACACAGCGACATTGGATACAAGTGCCATTCGAGAAGTGATCTATAATATGTATCACAAAAGTAAGATATTATAATAACTTATCAGAAACTTGCATTAATTTGTTAACTAAATTATAATGTCATATTACACATGGTTTCAGAAGAACAAGTTACGATACAAACTTATGGTCTCGATTAAGAGATAGGGCATTATTTGATGGTAGTGCCACGTCTTTAAGGCGGTTGCTTAGAGATCTTGGATTTAAGTGGCTTAAGGACAATCCGCGACGAGGGCTCATGGAACTACCAAGTATAGCTTTGAAAAGGGTGGAATTTCTAAGGCAATACAATCAAGCCAGGTTGAGGCCTTATACCAGTTTGTCTTCCTCGATGAAACTTGGATATTTCAAAATGGGACCATAGGTCGCTCTTGGCAAAATGGAAACCAAAAAAGCGTGAAAGCTATTAAAACAGATGGTAAAAGGTATGTACTTTTACACAATTTGCACTATAAAATTTAAAACTAATATATTTTAATACATTATATTACATGCTGGAAATGAAAATGGGTTTATTGAGGGTAGTGAAGCGATATTTTCTTCGAAAACAAAATTGAGCGATTACCATGGAGAGATGAACCAGGACAATTTTTTGAAATGGTTTCAACATCAGTTATTAGAAAAATTGGAGAGTCCATCTATGATTATACTGGATAACGCCCCTTATCACAGCATGATATTGAACAAAGTGCCCAACAATGCATGGACAAAAAAAAATATCCAAGACTGGTTGACAAATCAAAACATACCATTTTTAAACACAATGTTTAAAACAGAGCTATTGAGTATTGTTGCTCGGTACATAATGCTTCTTAATTATATATATGTATTTTGGTGGACAGTTTATATTTCTTTTGTTTATTCCTATACTTAAAATAACTGCTTTTTAGAAACAAACCACCTAAAATATACGTGATTGATGAATTGGCGGAACAACATGGGCACAAAGTTCTTCGTCTGCCTCCTTACCATTGTATATTTAACCCTATTGAGTTAATTTGGGGCATAGCAAAAGGTTACTATAACAGACATATTGGTAGAGATGGTAACAGTGAAAAAGACTGTTTGGATATGTGGAACGAGGCTCTACAAACGGTTACCCCAGACATGTGGAAAAATAGTGTTCGACATACTGAGCAAGAAATTTTTAAATGGTATGAAAGAGAACGAATTTTTGATCGACCAGACATCGAACCTTTAATAATCAACTTTGAGAGTAATGAAGATTCAGATTCAGACAGCGCTGAAGAAAGAAACTCCGACTAACTTTATTGTACAGAAAAAGCTTACACCAGTAGCTTACCTAATCTTAGAATGCATTTTTCTGTATGAATTCTGTAAAATAAATACCATGCATAAAATTTGGAGGACCCCATTTGGATTTTTATTCAGTACCTTTAAGCTATCTATTATATATGGTAGTTTCATAGTGTCATCTGATCAATAATTGTCATACTTAATGATTATGCAAGTACAGATCTATAATTTTATTATACTATTATTTTTGTTCTCATTTGAGGTTAATATTGCTTATAAACCTAGATATGTAAATAATAAATTTTATTATTTTACAAAAAGTTTGGCAACAATGTAAATTTTTCAACACACCCACCTTGATGACGTGCACGCCACTTTATTTGGCGTTGACTATAGGTGAAGTTCCTTTTACAATTTTGAATACAATGTCATGGTCACTAAGTCTGTCTTACAGACACCGGTCGTTTTGGTGATAATCACTACTGCAACACGCATTTCTCTAACAAGGTTTGGAGGTTGCAGGCTTAAAGGATACTACTAGAGTATACTTCTGGAATACGATGCGATAGTAGAATCATATTTGACGAAATTATTGTAAAGTCTAGTTTTATTGATGCAACTTGTCCAAGGGGTTATTTAAAAGATGGACGCTTAAAATGGGTACACCAATTTTTGTGGGAAAACTTTTTATTTGACAACAAAAAATGAGAAAACGTGTTTTTTGGGATTCAATCGAAAGTGTTGGCAGGAATGGAAAAACTCAAATAAGACTTTTAGGTATTTATGAGACCTACAGAATGAAACGACTCGTAAAAAGATCCCACTAAAGTAAAAAAGTTATGGCCGAAAGCCGAGGTAAGCTACAGGTTTTAGCACTTGCTGCTAATGCGACGATAATTTCACGCAGCTACTTGAAATTCTTTAAATTCGTAGGCTTCTTACTTCTAACTACAACAAAATTGGAGTCGATTGGTCAAGAAGTGTTTGAGAATTTCTAAATGTTTATCCCAAAACACCTGTCTTACGGCCATCACTACTAGTTTATTGAGCAATATACACGGTTCGTTCAACATACAATTTATAGCAAAATACACGACTTTACCTTGCTGACATGAATCACAAGCCATTCCGAAAGATAATTGTTATTTTTATGCAAAAACCGAAGGTTTCCTTTTTCTCTGGAACAAATTCAAAATTTCATATTTTTAAGTAACTGAACAGATCACTGGCGGATTTAGACGTCTGACATTTGCTTTTGCAACCTAACACCATTGTGCTGCTTTGTGTCACATCATGGTGACAGAGGCATACAAACCATAAGTTATAGCTATAGGAACTGAGCATTATGATTTTTTGGTATTCCAAATGCTTCCCCTCTTTGACATCACTTGTTTACAGCACAACTCTTACGTATGTACGAGTATTGTGACTTGTGACAAATCTATGTCTGGGTAATATATTAGCTATACAGAATGCACTTAAAAAGTGATTTATGTTCTGTTTGTTGCTCAATAGTTATTTGAAAAGCATGTAAAGCTTGACTGATTCTGTTCGGAGTTGGGGCCTGTCTAGAAACTGCGTCGATCAATGCTCAAAATCAATACCACACGTCCCGCATCTCTTCTCGCGTATGTGTCTATTTATGTTGCTATATTGAATTCGTTTAAATCACAGAGCTGCTGTACTATACGTGAATATGTACAGCCCTGTATTCCTGTACTTGTTTAGCTTAAACATACATTATCAAAATAATTACGATCTAACAGATAGCTTTTTCCAACATTTCTACATGGGCCAACGCCGGCTCGAAAACTGAGAAAACAACTATGCCGTAAATCTAAGTTCGATAACGAAAGTCTGAAAAATAACTGTAACATCTATATTGAATTTCAAAAACCCCAACCCATACTGAGCGGGGCGGTGGCAAATGCTTGTTCCGGAAGTTGTTGTATCCAGCATACAACTTCTTCCCTTACATTGTACACGCGTTAAGGAATACCTCAGTACCGATTGCCGGGTGGCTGTACAAGTCCGCCAACGGGCCACTTTATGTCTATTTAATATCATGAACACGCAAAAGAAGGTGGTAGACAAGTACCAGTCGACCGAGGCGGTACCACCCTATAGCTTTTCCCAGGGTGTCTTATAAATGTCCGCATGTTTCCACACCTAAGCTATGCAGTCGGTTATCTTCCAGAACAAAGAAATTAATGATGATGGATCCCTCGAGTACTAAGAATTCCGGATGTAAACTCACTCCACTCTCGGAATGAACAGGTGGATGTTGGGCTCGAGGGAACAACATCGAAGATAAAATGTTTCACGAACATCTGCGGGATTAACAGCAACATTGATGCTGTTCATCACTACTTGCAATCCAATCGTCCCGCCATGCTTTTTACTATTAGTGAGATCTTTTTACGTGTGGTCTCATTCTGTAGGTCTCATAAATACCTAAAAATCTTATTTGAAGAGTTATCTCGTTCCTGCCAACACTTTCAATAGAATCCCAAAAACACGTTTCCTCATTCTTTGTTGTCGAAAAAAAAATAAGATTTCTCACAAAAATTGGTGTGCCCATTTTATGCGTCCATGTTTTAAAGTTGCTAATATGTTTAGATTATGACTGAGGAAGTATGATCGAGTATAAAGATCGTATTTAGCTATTCGTCTATGCTGTTCGCGAGGCGGAAACCGTTCATAGGTTCAGCAAAGCGAGTGCCATCCCTAAAGAAGAGTTGCAATCTGAAGCCACTAGTTAGTGCACAATATGAATTTCGCAAAAAACGAAATTTGACATAAGAAATTGCATTCAAACGTTGCAGGGAGACGGGAGGGGAGGTGTGCATCGAACAGCTTTGCGGAAATGTTTATCTTAGGCTGTCACGTAAGTTTTACCGTAACGATCTTCCAAATAAAAACTATCATGAATTTGATGAGAAATGTTAACCGTAAGTTATTCAGCTTTTCCACCATGTATGCCAAATTACAGTCTCATCAATGCGATCGTTAATAGAAATGATAACAATACCTCACGGCGCTCATCAAAGACCCTATAGTTATTAATGGATTTTCACAGCTAAGTGGGCATATTAGTATGGTTGACTATTGTTCTAAAATCGTGACAACTTTTCAACTTATTTAATATGCATAAAATCGCAGATTATATAGCGTAGATAGTTTCAAAGTGATTTATATGGACACTTCATATCTCTGCTTCATTATTACCGAATCTACTAATATGCCGTATGATATATGATACTGCGAATGGAGTTTGCCAGGAGCGAACCAGAGTTTTGGAAAAATCACTTCATTTTCCGCAAGTTAATCAAACAACCACTACGATAGTTGGCAGCTATACGATTACAGAACAAAAGATACAAATGCAATGAAATTATTATATTGTGCAGAGTGAGACAACGTACATTGCATTGCAACTTGCATTATTCCAACAAAAAAAATTATATTTTTTTGTATCCATAGAATAATTTGCCCACCATGTAGAAACAATTGTTCTCGTACGAGTATAAAATCTGCACCACAGTCCACTTTATCTATAATTGTTCGAAATGTTGATCATGTGCCTATTAATGTTTATATTTGAACTACTATGCCAAGTAGCACATACTGTGTTCACTTTTGAAGATTATTCTATTGCGAAAACAATATACTACAAGCATTTCGTACGAAATACAATTGTCATATCAAGTTACCCTAAGATTCCTGACTTTTTTGTATCTACTAATCAAACCAAAGTGATCATAAGTCGGTCAAGGATTTTTGAGAGATTTTCTTATCCCAAAGCCGATTACATATTGCTGGAGAACAATGTAGCAACCTTGGAAAAGAAAATATGCATGTTCAACGATACCTTAGAATGGAGTTACGACACAAAATTTCTAATTTTCTTCGAGACGCTGGAAGAGAGCGACGTACCAGAAGTTTTTAAAATACTCTGGAGCTTATATATTCACAATGCAGTGGTAACTACCAAAACGGCCTTCTATACTTGGAATCCATATTCGAAAAAGAATAAATGCGGGAAAGAATATAGCATATCCAAAAATGAAGGAAGACATGTATTGAGGTATAACAAATTTAAAAAATTACACATGTGTAATTTCACTTTCTCAGCGAATGCTGTGCTCATGTATATGGAAAAAACTCAAAAGCATGGATTCTTAGTGCCGTATCTTACAACACTTGCTGAACAAATAGGTGCCAATGTTGAATTTCATTTTGGTAATTATTTGCAACAGTTTATGAATACAGGATCTTGGGATTTGGTTGCTGAAAATATCAATGCAAACAAGTATAATGCAATATTTTATGGTGCGGCCAATGAAATTAGAATAAATGGATGTTACTGCGATTACACTGAGATCTTGCATTTCACGTATCATTTAATGTTACTGCCACCAAGAGCAAAAGCGGGCGGTACCTTCAAAATATTCGATGTTTATTGCATCACAATCTTAAGTATCAGTCTTCTATCGTTGATCATCGTCTGGAAGTTCTATTATGGAACATCTTATGCCCAATCGATAAACGATATAGTTTTACTCTTGCAGTGTAGCAAGGTAAATACAAAAAAATGTCACCAGGTATGTATACGTTGAGGTTATCTCAAAAATTATGGTTTTATATTATGTAGCATAAAGCAGATCACCTGACAATACCGGAAGACAAACGCTCTTGCATTGGCTCTGAACCGATGTACAGTGGTCAAAATAGAAAACGTGATCAAAATATAAGATGTTCGGCACGTACTGGTTTTCAATATTGTACACTGCTGTTCAAAAGTTTCCGTACAGTGTGTCCCAGATTCGCTTCTCTATACAGGGATCTCGGCTAATGTTATATCTGCAGCAAAGGTTAAATGGGGAAAGTTTTAGAGGAAACTTAGTGCTTTCGATAACAGGCTTCAGATTTACGGTCGGTCAATTGGTTTTGAAAATATCAGCGAAAAACCGAAAATGGCGGAATTTGTTTTTTGGCAGTAAATCCAAAACGGTTAATTTGACAGCTGTCAAAATGTGACATTATTCGGACATTTTTTAAGAAAAATAACTTTCATTTTTCATATTGGATTTTTTGTTTTCTGAAAAAAAGTGTGAAATTTCTGGTCTAGTGATGTTTCATAAGTGCATAAAAGATTGGAGTATCAGGAGGTGATTTATGTCTTCTGGAGGTATCTCATCCAAAGTTAGCTGTACTTGGTTCAAAAAAGCAGCTAGTACTTGTGGAGGGTGGGGTAAAGGGGCCAGTACTCTTCTCATCATTCCGCACACAATGGGCGAAAGTTCTGATCTTGGAGGCCAAGCTGAGCTGTATTGAGATAGTTCATTGTAGCTGTAGCAATCTGTATGCATTATCCTGCTGGAAAATAGGGTTCTCCAGCATTTTGAAAAATGGCAAAAAATGTGTGGATATACCGTTGCGCCATCATATCTTGTTAATGGAAACTAATTCAAATTCAAATTTATTGGTGCCGGCATACATATGTGGTTGCACAGGTCACACACACAAAAGTCAAATCTGACTTAAAATCAAAATAAAATAATCATAATCAACAGTAGAGACTAAGACATCAAACAATAAAATAAAAGTTTTAAAATCTTCGCCAGAGAAATTCATCCGTACTATAGAAAGCACCAGACATTAAGATGCTTTTTACATTTTCTTTAAATATGTTGACGAACATGTATCTGATGCTTTTCGGCAGATACAAATTTTATGATCTGGTACTCTGGAGACTTCTGAACCTCGTTAGCTGGAAGTACTCTGGCATTAGATTACTCTTGAACCTGGTATTGTGTTCGTGAACATCACTGTGCATTCTGAACATAGTAAGGTTGTTCTTTAGCTTTCGTGGTGAGAACACCATTTGTTTGGTTTTGCTTTGATTCAGCAGAAGTCCACTCGCATCGAACTATACCTCAATATCCCACTGTACCGTTTCCATTCCCAATGTTGCTTCATCCAGAGAGCCTTCAGTAAGGAAGAGAGTGGTGTCGTCCGCGAAAATTGTGAAAGCAACAGCTATGATTGCCAAAGGCAGGTCATTAATGTAAAATAGGAATAATAGGACCCAATACTAAGGAACTCCGATGAACAGTTCCTTTTCCTGAGACACCGCTTCTCTCACCCTGAGGTGATAGCACCATATGTAATGGCGCCCTCCTACAGTATGGCGCACGTGACGTTCAACTGAAAACTTACATGTCAGAGCGTCCTTTGTAAGGCGAATATTGCGTTCTAATTCGTCGATCAAGGTTGTCCCAAGGAAACCTGATCAGATTGAAATCCAGCAACTGGATGGACACTCGACGGTTTGTAAAATACCTACTGATATTTTTTTGAGCAAATGATTTATATCCGTTATGAGTGCTTTTGACCGTTATCATGATTGCATAACAAATCCTGGACTAATAAGTTTTCTTCTTGAGGGAACCATTACGCGAACATAAATATTGTAATAACACTTTCCTTCATAAATTATATAAATCTTGTTTAATGGAAAATACCATTAAATAAGTCCGCTCTCAGAACTATTGCGCTATTACGTCCATGTTTCACGGTTCTTCTTCTATTACTAAAATTTCGTACCCAGATTCATCTCTTAAGGGTACATTTTTTAGATTTTCCTCATGTCTTTTGGCACACCGCAGGCGAAGACACTAAATTTTTTGAAATAAGACAGCACAAAGTGCCATCTATTATCAGTACCGACCACTACGATTTTTTGTATTGCTTTTTATTGTTTAAATGCTGATACGTTTTCTCGACATGTGTAAGCACTTTTGTGTACAAACACGAATAAATAATTATTATTATCTACCGTAGTATGACTGAAGCAATACTGTTAATGATAACGGTTATGATACAGGTGCGCAACAATACACTGCTTGGTGTATTCATTATCTGCTTCATGGAAATAACCATATTCTATCAGACTGGCTTGACCACCGAGATAATCAAGCCAAAATTAACACCTAAGCCGAAATATCTGGAGGACATTGCTGATAAAAATCTGCCGATTGTCGGTGGGTATCATCTTGGTGAACATGTTCTAATCGGAAGAAGTCAGTATTTGAGGGAGAAGTTCATGAGTAATTCAGTGGAAGTGAATTTGCCGATAGATGGAAAACTGGAATACTATGTTAACCATTCAGATTTTGTTGTTCACATAGATCATTTATGGTTGAAAATGATCAAGAATCGGCATGAAGTCGATGTTCTTTACAACGATCCAGTAAGTACACAGTGCGTCTCACCTATTACTTTTTTTTATATTTGAAAAATCCACACGCTTTTTAGGAGGTGAAATCGAATTTTTCTTATTGATAAATGAAGGTTGGTTTATGCCATTTATGTATGAAAAATAACATCAGTCATGTGACCACCGCGGCTTCGTTTACAGGCCAACATCCGAACATCAAAATTTTCAATGACTTTTCCCAGAATAATCGGGTCTATGGCCGCAATTTCAGTCCGAATATTGCGCTTTAGGTCTTGAATTGTCCGGGGACCATTCGCATACACTTTTCTTTTCAAAAATCCCCAAAGAAAATAGTCACGAGGTGTTAAATCGCTCGATTTCGGGGTCCAACTGACATCTGAATTTCGTGAAATTATGCGGTCTTGAAATATCGTGTGCAATAAGGAGATTGTTTGGCGAAATGTGTGAGCCGTTGCTCCGGCTTGATGAAACCAAAGATCGTCGGCACCAATACGATCCAATTGTGGCCACAAAAAGTCTATTAACATGCCGCGATAACGTTCCTCGTTGACGGTAATGGCCTATTCGTCGGCATCTTCAGAGATTCAAAGAAGAATGGTCCAACGATGCCACCAGCTCATAATCCGCACCAAACAGTCACTTTTCCAGGATGGTGAGGTTGTTCATGATATTGGTGTGGATTTTCAGCCCCCCAGAATCTGCAATTTTGCTTATTTACGTACCCATTGAGGTGAAAATGACCCTCGTCAGAAACTAGCACTTTCGCCGAAAATCCGTCTTCTCTTTCCAGCATCCAATTAACAAAAACACGCCGCTGTTGAAGGGTCTGCCAGCTTCAATTCTTGTGTTAATTGGATTTTGTATGGATGGAGGTTTAAATCAATGTGTAAAATCCGGCGTAAAGTGGTCTCACAATTGTTGCGAACGGTGCCGCGATAACGTTCCTCGTTGACGGTAATGGCTTATTCGTCGGCATCTTCAGAGATTCAAAGAAGAATGGTCCAACGATGCCACCAGCTCATAATCCGCACCAAACAGTCACTTTTCCAGGATGGTGAGGTTGTTCATGATATTGTTGTGAATTTTCAGCCCCCCAGAATCTGCAATTTTGCTTATTTACGTACCCATTGAGGTGAAAATGAGCCTCGTCAGAAACGAGCACTTTCGCCGAAAATCCGTCTTCTCTTTCCAGCATCCAATTAACAAAAACACGCCGCTGTTGAAGGGTCTGCCGGCTTCAATTCTTGTGTTAATTGGATTTTGTATGGATGGAGGTTTAAATCAATGTGTAAAATCCGGCGTAAAGTGGTCTCACAATTGTTGCGAACGGTGCCTAGTCGAGGTGGTTGGATCTTCTCGCACACTTTCACTCACTGCGGCTATGCTTTCACGAGTACGAGCTGGACGAGCATGTTGGTACCGTCTACGACCTTCAGCTGAACCAGTTTCCTCAAAACGATTAACAATCCAACGAATTCCAGGCTCTGTAGGGCGTCCATGTCGGCCAAAACTAGTGCGAAGTTTGCGAAAAGTATTTTTTATATTTCGACCGTTTTCGTAATAAGTTTGGATAACCAAAATGCTTTGGTGTGTTGTAAACGATGGATTCCATAAATGGCATACCTTTGACAGTTCATTTATGCATACCACATGACTTTCTCACATGGTAACACATAAACTTATAGGTAAAAAAAGTAATAGATGGCGCACCTAGTATATTTATGCACGTGGCTTGTGTCGCGCGAGTTATGTGTCCATACCGGACATGTATCATGTATCAGCATAATGAACGGAGCTTCACCCTTTTAGAATTTGCAACATACACATTTTCCATTTTATTGTTATCTTGTTATTTCATTTTGAGTTAAGTCAGAAATAATTTTGTTTACAAAGTAATTTTCCAGTTTCGGTAATGTAACTCGCGACAGCAATGCCAAAAGATGTCAACACGGACTGACGGCTTGACCTCAATTCATATAGCGGATGTCGGACAGGGATATTGGCATGCAATATAAAAATAAACGAATATCAACGAGAATATGGTCTTTCCACGGGTATCCATTCCGTTTTGACATCTGCTGGAATGACATCTTTGTATGAAAGTCTGTAGGGTTGGCAATAATGAATTGCATAAAACTCAGCACCGTATTCAGAACTATTTATGTCAGACATAGTAAAAAACTGTGTATCTTGGTTTATTACTACCTGATTTGAAATATAGTCACGAACATTGGCAGTCATTTTGCTTATAACGTTTTTCCTTGTGTGCGAAGGATGAACTAAAAACGCTGTTAGGAAATGTGAATCCGTAGAGTACAAAAGACCATAACAAAATACAATTTTGTCTACAGCTCTAGCTTTGACAGATCCGTCAGAGTTGTGTGTCGATTGTCGATATGGGATGTTCTAACATGTTACTAAGTAATCAGCTCTTATTTGCTGTCACGTTTTACATAGTGGATACCCCTAAAAAAGGCACTAGCAGACACTTAGTCGATTTAAGGTTAGGGAAATTTTGAATTCCAAGCTGACAATCGTCGTTTGATCTGGCAAATAACGACAACGAAATATTTGCAGCACCGTCAGGCCTCAGTTGATCCACATGATAAAGATTTCATCATATAGACACCGCTTATATTCCACTATGAGGCCAACGATGTTTCCCTTTTTGTCAACTGCGTGCGCGACGATACAGTTGTTTCCCCCACTATGCATTCGCTCCCGACGAATACGCGAAAGGTTAAGGTACGCAACTTCGGTTGCGCGACAGTGTCACACGATGCTTGACATATTTCTGTCTTTTTACAAGATTTTATTTAACTTGACCTGTTTGTATGTGTGTGTGTATGTTAGTTAGTATGTATGTATTGAACTGAATTTTGAATCAGTTAACCTTGACCAAATGAGCTGAAATTTTGTACACACGTTCGCGCTAATACTGTGTCTGACTACATGGGCCATTTATGTCCCTATGCCAATAAATCAACAGAAAAACAGACGGAATTAGAGATATAGTTTTTCGCTATATACATGTCATGTGAGATCCAAAAAATATAATATGTCAATTTCGATTTTGTTTGCGATTACAATACTTCTCTACCATTCGGTGTGAAAAGTGAAAACAATACGAGGCACAACGCACATGCTGCTCGATATTTCATTTATACTCCAACTACCACGAAGGCCTAAGGCCTAAGGCCTAAACACCCATTGGGTACCGTGAGGCTCATAGAAAAATTATAACTATGACAGATCTTCTAACGTTGTTTCCCGACCTCTCGCGGTGCAATACAGTACATTTTAGTAGCAATTATAATTTCACTGATTTTGTTCTAGGTTTTCTTTGTAAGAAGTCGCATTATAATGAAAAAACATCACCCAATGATACACAAATTTAACGCATGGATCGTGAGAATCGTTGAGACTGGACTTAGGGATAAGTGGATCACAAATGCAGCTTTATATAACAAAAATCTCGAAATAAAAGTGGAAAACAGCAAATTCAAAAGCATTCGCTTGCAAGACATCACACCGTGTTTCAGATTGTTATTTTTGGGATATATTATCACTCTGATTGTATTTTTCATTGAGGTTTTGTTTAAAAGAAACAAAATAGCAGCAAAAGTTGTATAGACAGATTAACAATATTCGTCACTACACGCTTATGCAAAATTGCTAGAAAACATTTTTGGCAAAATTGAAAAATATTAGATCAACAGAGCACATCAATAGTCAATATAGCATGCTACTCAACGTGGTTCTTTGACTAACATTATCTATATGTTACAGAATGCTTACCAACCTTACCTGTCTGATTTGAAATCCCACTATCAAGAATTCCGTATTTAACATGACTTACACATATTTTAACCCACTGCCAAAAAAACATATGATTAGAGTAAGATGGACTATTATGCTATTACCAGTAGCACACTCAATTGCCTCAAATAATCTACTTTGTAACTTTTTTCCAATTAATGTAGTGACAAAATTTTCAAACTGATCTCAAATAGTGTTTCCATCTAAAGAGAAGTTTGACACTTCTTCAATTTGAATGACTGTGGCATCTGCGTGAGCTACTGAAATGTTAACTATGTCAAAGTAAATTACATACACATTGTTGTTATAATGTAGCTGACACTGATATCCAGGGTGTCCCAGAAATTGACGTCAAATATAAAAAAATTATAGGCTTTAAAAAAATCGGAAAAATGTACAACCTGTGATGAGCCTTTAGTTCGCATTACTACAAATTTCAATTTTTTCTTAGGTGGAGTGACGAACAGTGTCATTCTACGTAGTAACAGCAAGACAGAGAGTAACGCCACTTTTAATTCATGATTGTGTAGTGCCACCACATGCCTGTTGGCGCCGTTCAGGGATACTCCAACAGTCAACTCATTTATGTTGAATGTAGATGCAATGCTAGTGCTGCAGCTAGGCTTTAACGTCATCCTGATCAACCGAGTTTTTGAGAAGGACAATTCCCAAATCAAGCACGTGGTGAAAGAATAATTTCTTTTCCTTACGAGGACTTCGTACCTCAAGAAGTCGAAGAAGACCCGAGTACTTCAGTACGTCAAATAGAAGCAAGCACGGGAGTGTCCAAACGTATCGCCCGTTGAATTTTGCGAAAGAACGAGCTCCGTACCACGTACAGCGAGTACAATCTCTACAACCCCGGGATTATCTTCCAAGAGTTTTGTCAAACAATGTTACAGAGACACCGGGAAGATCCGTGATTTTTAGAGAAAATTTTATGAACTGAAGAGTCGACATTTAAAAAAGAAGGTTATATGAATCTACACAACTCTCACGGTTGACATGTAGAAATCCACATTTGATCAGACAAGATAAATCATAGTATCGTTTTGAAGTAAACGTATGGACCAACCTTTTTACATAATCATTTACCAAATTTATTGGAAGCATTTACAAAGACATGTGGTTGAATCAAGATGGCTGCCCAGTGCACTATGCCCGTTCAGCTAGAGAATATCTTGATGCGGAATTCCCGTGTAGATGGATAGGTCGGTGTGGTACAATTTCGTAGCCACTTGACGAATCCAGGCGGTTTTTTTTCTGGGATACAGTGAATGAAAAAGTTTACTCAAAGCCAATAGAAAATTTAGCTGAGCTACGAGACGGAATAAAGGAAGCAGCTGAAATTTCTAATAATGGACGATTTGCTCTTTGATAACCCAATCATTTTTATGAAGATTTCAAGCTTGCATTGCTGCTGAAGGAAGGCAGTTCGAACATTTATTGTGAAGTTAATACTCGTATTCAATTAATAAAAGTGGCGTTACTATCTGTCCTGCTGTCACTATGTAGAATGACATTGTCTGTCACTCCATCTAAGAAAACATTGAAATTTGTAAATAGAAACTGAAAGATCCTAACAGGGTGTGGATTTTCCGATTTTTAAAAGCTTATAATTTGAAAATTCACGACTTAGATTTTTTTATATTTTTCTGATAACTATTATGACTTGGCCTATCGCCGTTTCCGGATTGACGTCGACTTGTGGGACGCCCTGTATTTCCTAAGATCACAGATTCAACTTGACAGACGAAGACATGTTTGAAGCAAACCGCTAGCATAGCATTATTGGATATATGAACTAGTTTTCTGGATCCCTTGAGATTAGAATTGAAATATTGAATAGTGGCGTGGAAATGAATTTTGGATGAAAACTTAGTCAATACTGACCTGTGTTCTTTAAATTTCAGTGTATCCTTACAACTTCAAAGTTGCCTCTTTCAATTACTACTGCAAGAAATATATCCAAATTTGACGCCAATCTTATCTTACCGATGCATGTGAACATCCAACAGCAAAGGTCCCTGAGAGATATACTTCATGACCGCGTTGTAGTGACGGTTGAATCTGTTCAGGTACTTATTGTCACCTAACAGAATGTACGCCTTCAAGCAGTATTCATAATAGGAGTCTATTCCTGCCCCTACGCCCGAATCCCTTCGTACCCAATCGCCTGAATGCACGTTTAGTACCTGAAAAGTCAAAACAATTTAAGTATCATCGAGAATAATGTACTGGACACCTTGATTCAAGAACAGTGAAATCAGTCTCAGCAAACCTTTTTAACTGGTGCAGCCAACGTTCGCTAACACCAGACGGATTTTCATTAGTGAACAGTCTCTGCAATGCGATCGCTCCAGCCGAAGGTTTACTCCACCGCAGAGTGATTTTACTATTTGTATCTATTTAGTGATACTTACTGTTCCCATGAGATCAGAACCGCGGTGTCTCATTTTCCATAAGGCATCCATCGCCTTGTGAGCGCGTTCCTCAAACTCCCGTTCTCCTGTCAGTCGAGACAGAGCTGCCATCTCTAAAATCATTGATCCGGCACATGCTGTACAAGTCTCGCGCGCATACTCCAAACGATCCGATTTTATGCCATGCTTCAAATTCACCTAAAAATTTAGATATACCTGGAATGTATCTACTACAATAGATCAATTCTGTTCAAATGGAACAAGTCGACACCCGAATTATGTAAAATAATCGCTATGATAGCGATCTGATCGCCATGCTTGTCACTTGTATACTAACTAGTCGCTAAACCCACGCCATATCTACTAGCTATGAACGCCAGCTATAGATGAAAGGGAAAATGACCTATAATATAGAGCTTACCACTTAGACCACTGAAGCTATGAATGGCCTCAGCCTTCTCTGAAGCAGATATTATATTCAAATCATAGCCACAGCTCAGAGCGCATAGCCCAAATATACTGACGTTTAGGTAACACACAACTACTATAATTGAACAGGAAGTGACTGATAGCTAGCGTCAAAGTGACAATTATGATGATCATATTGCTATCCCTGTCGTTAGGAGTTACATACTAGGTACAGAACAAGTATAAAATCAGTTGAATGCAATTTGATAGGATCGATTTAATACTCCTTGACAATTATAACCAGTAACTAGTGTCACCAATCTTCAAAAAACGCTTACTCTTGCATATGGTATGCCGGTTGTAGTGTTGAAAGCAGGCAATAAACGGTATCCCACATCTTTTGCCATACTGAGCAGTTCACCTTTGTACCAAGGCATAATTCCATCTCTTTGTTGAAGATAATCAGTCAGAATATGTGCCGACAATAGACCACTGAAAATGATAAGTTATTATACAAGGCTAACACAGGAAAGCCATTTTCTAGCTCAAATTCGCCAACATGGCTCTTCACGATTTTTTACAGTTATATTCGCATGCAACGCTCTAAACTACCTATGTGTCACCAACTTTATTACCTTGTAACAATCTAATAATAAGAAACAAAAATTGAGTTTACAAAGTCATATAATATTTTGAGGCTTCCTATGGGGAAATTTAAAAAAAAAACACGTAAATACTAAAACTAACCAATAACATTTCCTCTTACCCCAAAACCCTGATGTTTGTCTCAAAAACTGAAACCACAATGTCATTGTCAAAACAGACATCCTTAATCACAAGTTTTACTGCATGTGCGAACTCTGCCAGATCACCAAGTACCACCAATGTGTCCAGTGTGTCAATCAATGTTAGCGAAAAGCTGGAATAAAAAAAGGAAGGAATTTCTCAATTTATTCTTTGGTGCATTTATTGAACTTACTTTCCCATTGAGTCATCAATATCACCTCGGTTTGGTGATACTCCTCTGTATCTTCCAGCACAGCTAAGAGGCATTAGTTCATCTGCAGGATAGGCATTCTCCATATATGCATTGTACGCGTGATAAAACATATCTCTCGCCTCCTCTCTGAAATGCAAATTGTGTTATGAACAATGATAATAAATGTTTCCTTATGGGTATGTTTTGCTTCAGTCAGTTAAGCCTGTTAATGATAACGCTTCAAATTCTCTTGGTATTAATGGTTATCTAAGCTGGGCATGCAACAAAAGGCCGATACAACTGCAAGCATTAGGGGATCATGCAATCATGTTTGTTTTAATGCTATTACGCTGTGTATGTGTGTGTAACATGCAAATGTAGGAAATTATTGACCATCAATTATAACAGTAGTGATATGGATTCTGATGATGATTATTAAAGCGAAAGTTTTGGGTTCACCAGCAGATCAGAGATTGAGAACAGTACTTGAATTGCTCATGTCCTCAGCTTGATCTTACAAGTTTTTCAGAATGTCAAATCTGCATATTCCATTAGTTTTTATCTCTATCAGCAGTAAAAAACGAGCAGATCAAAAAGAAAATTCCTGGTCACACTGAATTATAGTTAAAAATTACACTCAAAAGTTGCAGAAAACTATTTTTTCAAGTTCCATGATACCTAATATTGTGAAATTGTAGTTCAAAAAATGCAGTTTACATAGTTCTGTGTTATCTCATCTGCCTACTTACTGACAACTTTAACATAAATAACATAAAATTGATTTTTCCATGTGTGAATAGATTCATACTTGTAGTATTTCAGTTCCATCACATCTAATACTGTATGAAAAAGTCATAATGTGAAAAATAGAGCAGTTTGAAACTAATTTGAAAAAAACTTAAAAAAAATGGGCTAATATTGATATAATTGATGAGAACACACATCGTCCATGTTATAGCATTTTATGTAATATTAAAATTTGCATTGACCAGCTCACATCAGCATATGGGCAGTCATATTGCTCATTCAGTTTCCCAATACTAACAATATACATATTAGTATAGGTTGATACCTCATTTTCACAATACATTATTTAATTTAAGTTTATTTCTGTTACTGAATGAACTAATAAATGCATTTACTGCATAAATCAAGTCAACCATCATTTCTCACTGTTTTAGTTTAATTTTATTTTATATATGATGCAATGGACAGATTGTTTTTGCTGTGGATGCAATGATTTGGTAAAATATAACAGTAGTCTCAAATACTCTGGAATTTAAAATTTTATTTTAAAGATCATTCTTTCAAATTGAGTGTTTTTACATTAAATATAAAAAAAAAGTTTCTTTTGAAAAACATCAATTGGACATCTATTTTCCATTTATCAAAATAAAATAAGTTTGTAGTATGTTTAAGTGCTTTCATGGTTTCGGACTTGTCACAGTAAAACTACAGGATTATTATTATATATCCATCTTTGTAGCACATTCATTGGCCTCTTTGCACAGACTTTTGTTTATGTAAGCTCATAAAAATTCATTTTGTCTTGATGCCTTGAAAATTTTCTTGTCAATGTATGAGTCTTCCACATTTTTGCCCGTATAACTACTAGTATGACTAGTAGCTTGTTATGGGCATACAATCTGAGTTTAACTTTTGTTGCTCTTCAATATAAAGCATAGCAATGCCTGAAGATACAGTCAACAGTATTTTGTTAAATTCATTTGAGTATTTTCAATTACAATTTGCCAGAAAGAATTGGTATAGTTGGTCAATCTGTTTACTTATTTTGTATATTGTACAGTGTGGTGTAACAGCCAAAGACTGTAAAAGATCCAAACCAAAAACAAAGTCGCCAGACTATGATTTTTGTTTTGAGATGACCAAATCAAAGGGACTACTCAGCCAGTGTAGAGCAGTCCAGCACCTTCATGATGAATATCAGTAGACATGGGATAGATAGATTTGTCAGATTAACAGCAGTTTTCACTTGGCTTTCATAGTATGTTGGTTATTGTTGCAAACTGTCAAATGGCTACTGCTATTCAGCATAAAGCTCTGTGGACTGCTTTATGATTGTTTTTGCAGCACAAATAGTGAAACAGTTTTGACCTCTGCTTTCATCAGTCTTTATCAGTAGCATATTTGAAGAAGAAAAGTAGATTTTGATGGTATTTTGATTAAAAATGCAATGTAGAAGTGAAGTGCAGATTAGTTGCTAAACAGTGATTACTGGATGCAGTTACTGAACTGAGAGATGAATTTCTGGTAATTTTTTCATTACAAATGTGATGAATAACAGATTAAACTTACCTGAGGAGCACTCGCTCCTCCTTAGTCATATGCTTCACATCTTCACACAGACAGATTTGGAATGATACAAGCAGAGTACTAACAAAGATACAAATGAAAAGTACACTTTCAGAGAATAACATGTTTTACTAAAATTTAATTCTTCGTCATGAATTGGACCTCCGACTTATTAACATATTGTTTAACGCTCTAGAATGTTTTGCTGGCAAAGCGAGTCTGATAAGACTCCTTATCTGCAGTATTGTTGAGTGGAGAACTTGTAATGTAAGCAGAGTTCCGCATAAAACATTCTCACGATTTCACTGAAATAGAAATGCCCAATCAACCGTACACTAATTTTTATCCGGATTTTAATTTTGACATACTTTTTTGTAAAACTATTCAACAAACAAAATGACAGCACAACTTTCGAAATAGAAATGTCCTTCAATAAGGGCGGAGTTAAAATAGTTCAATAAGTATCACACGTCTAAAATACTGTAGGATTCACGCTGGATGTACTGCAAAATAATATTGAATACTTTTGGTATGACTTATTTAATGGTTTATCAAAAAACAAAGATTCCAAAATCTTCATTACACTTGGTGGCTTGACACCTTGACAGTAGCTCAATGACAGTGACGTTGACAGGACAACACAGTTGACAGTTCACGCGTGCCGACAGGAAGAAACAGAATTTTAAATCAAATACAAGGGAATAACCAAAATTACTGTGTTATTTGCCGCGGTTATATGGTTCAAGATGACACACGGGTTGATGACGTGAGTTACACGAATCGCTTGAATGCGTTGGTTTTAACCGCGGTTTTGTTGCAAGTTGTTTATTTTAGAAAAGCGCGTATATAATCTCTTGATTATTTTTATTATCACTTAATAATTGGTGCTTTTTCGTCTACAACTGTATATGGAAAGTTTAAATAAGAAACCTTTCATAATATTCTTGGGAGAAATGTTTTTTACAGATTTTTTTTTAATGATGGCTTTGTAGCTATAATAACTTTCAATTTTCTAAATTTTTCCGCATGTCAAAGAAAACATTTATTGATTCAGCAGAAATGATGAAAAAAGAAATTAGCAAAACCGTATACAGGTGGATATCATCTAGTGAGTTTATATGGCCATATTTTAATATTCTTGTGGTATATGGCTACACAGGATACTTTGTTAAGCATAGGAACTATACTAAGTGACATATAAATCCGAAAACCCAGTTTAAATGGTTTTATTTTAATAAAAGTTGGTGAATGTATTTATCTTACTGTAAATAACAAGTGAAAAAATTTTCAGCCTTATCAGTTGGACATTCCGGTTTTTATACTGCTTTTTTTAATTCACTAACGCTCTAAAAATGAATATTTCAGCCGCAGTAAAGAATCAACGTTGGCGGATTATGGTTCTTGACATCCTTTACGATCGGTTACGATGCCTAGAGTACGGAGACCTGTACGATTTCGTCAACTTAGTGAGTTTGATAGGGGCCGTATAGTGGGACTTCGGGAAGCTGGACTCTCTTTTCGGGCAATTGCAGTTAGAGTGCAAAGAAATGTAGACACTGTGGTTAGGTGTTGTCAGGCATGACTTCGAGAAGGCCGTACGCAAAGAGCAAGGGGCACTGGACGCCGCCGTAGAACAACAGACCGTGAAGATCGCCGCCTAAGATTATTGGCCTTAAGGGACCGTTTCTCCACTACCAGGTCCATTGCAAATGAATGGTTTGCAGAACACGGAAGACCTATTGGCATGCGAAGTGTTTACCGACGAATGAGAAGTTTTGGCTTGTTTTCATACCGGCCACACTGGGTCCTCCCTTTAACTCGAGAACACCGACGTAATCGCCTTGAGTGGTGCAGACAACGGTCACTCTGGGTTCAGGAATGGAACAGTATTGTCTTTAGTGACGAGTCTCGATTTTGTTTAGGCATGCACGATGGTCGTGCCAGGGTTAGAAGGCGACGTGGTGAAAGGAGGAATCCACAGTTTTTTGTTGAAAGACATGTTCATCACACTGTTGGAGTTATGGTTTGGGGTGCTATAGCTTATGGTTCCAGGTCACCTTTAATCTTCATCAGAGGTAACATGAACGTGCAGCGTTATATCCACGAAGTTCTAGACCCCCATCTTTTACCCTATCTTGACACCCCGGCAGATCCAACTTTCCAACAAGATAAAGCCCGATCACAATAGACTTCTTTCAACATAATGATATCACATTGTTACCATGGCCACGAAGATCTCCCGACTTATCCCCAATTGAGCACGTGTGGGATATGATGGGTAGGAGATTGGTCAATTTGCAACGTCCTCCTCAGACTCTAGAAGCACTTCGAGAGGAGTTGGTGGTTGCCTGGAATGAGATACCACAGGAGGACATTGACCACCTGATCAGAAGCATGCCTAGGTGCGTTGGAGAATGCGCAGCACATTATTAAAGGTCAAAGGGCTTTAAAGCAGTGCAATCATTTTGAAATTTTTATCATTTACTTATTATGCTTCATTAAGTACTTATACAAAATTTTATTAAAATAAAACCATTTAAACTGGGTGTTCGGATTTATATGTCACTTAGTATACATTTAAAGTGTCCCCAACAACCGTAATGAGTATAACTAATAAGGTGCTCCACTTTATGGTAAAACTGAAGTCAGCCTGTATCATTTTTCTCAAAAATGAAGCTGAAGTATAATAACAATATCCAATACCCGGCAAAATTCTAACTTGTCACATTTCAAATAATAACCAGAAATATAAAACTACTCTTGAGTTGGGTAAATACCACAATTTTGCGGTGATAACTATGACTTATAACAGCTGATTCGTGACGTCACGGATCTTATAACCAAACTGATAACTACACTCGCTTGAACGGATTGGTAAATACCAACCCAAAATGGTAAATGCCATTTCCATTTGGTTATGCGCTTGAATTTGATTATAGTGACGTCTTATTTCAAATTTAAACAGAACGATGTCATAAAACCGGTGACAGACGTCATTGTTTTTTTGCTAAAATCCCTAGTCGCGATTTTTGTCACTCTATGGCTAGTTCAAATTCCTTTCTAATCTTTTTATCGAGTAGGATTGGTCAATGGTACTACAAATGTCAGGCAAACTCTGAAAGTTCCTATTTATAGAAACGCAACCATGGTGGAGCCAAACCAGGAAAGTTTGGACGTCTATGATCGGCTTTAGATGCGCCGTTGACGATTATGAGGATACCGAACAGTCGAACCGGGATCAATTCACTAAAACAAGAAATACTTAAAGATACGACACTGTCCTTATCGTTATCAAAGAAATAAGCTATGATAATGCATAAGTAACATTTTTATGACAGCAATTGTAAGAATATCCCCATTCGGACATGGCAAAATTGTGTGCAAATTTGTCTTTCATGTTCGGAGAAAAGGCTTTTTTAGAGAGATATAATTTGGCGAAGAACGCTGGATTTAAAGCAGTGGAATCTGGATTCCCTTATGGAATTTCTAAGCAACAAGTTGTTGATGCCAAAAATGCAGCTGGAATTGATCAAATACTCGTCAATGTGTACACTGGGGACGTTACCAAAGGTGAATTAGGGTTTGCTGCCATCCCTGGGAAAGAACAGGAATTCAAAGACAGTTTAGTTACCACACTAGATTATGCAAAAGCACTGGGCGCTAAAAAGATCCATATAATGGCAGGAAAAGTGAATGGACAGATCTCTCCTAAGCATGACTCTGTATATCTGGATAATCTTAAATATGCTGCAAAAATTCTGGAGAAAGAAAACATTTTAGGATTGATAGAACCTATAAATCCTTATTCAGTTCCAAATTATTACATGAATAGCTATGACAAGGCTATATCAGTAATAGATAAGTGGGCAGTCCTAACTTGAAGTTGATGTTAGACATTTTCCATTTACAAATGATCAGAGGTAATATTACCAATACAATGAAAGAGCTAAAAGGATACATTGGACATGTACAGGTAGCTCAAGTACCTAACAGAGGCGAACCAAATACATATGGAGAATTAAATTATAAATATGTTCTAGAGGAATTGAAAAGTGTAGCAGGTTATGAAGACTGGATTGGCTTAGAATACAAACCAGCATCAACCACTGCAGAAGGATTGAAGTGGATCCAAGATTTGGGTTATAATTTGTGAAAATATTTTAACACACTTACTAATATATGTTGTATATGTACATACTGTTCATTTATTTTTATTATTTCTCCCTCTCCATTCACAAGAGAATTCACCAAACAGATGTTACTACCCCATCAATTGTGTTCCAAATAGTAAGCTATGTAGTAAGTTATTTAAAAAAATATCTTCCAAAATATATAATTATATTCAGTATTCATATATACAAAACATAGATAAAGAAAGGAATAAATAGACTAAAAATGTATCACAAATATATGAAATAAACACTTCATAATATCCATGCAAACAGTAGGTATAGTTAGCTCTTAACTGTGAGTACCTTTATTCTGCAAGGTCAAACAATATGGGTATACAGAGTTTTGTCAAGGAAACAAAGTTAGTCTCAGATCATTGAGAAAAGCATATTATTTTTGTATCTGGTAGACCCAACAATAACTACTGCTCAACAAGTTTATGATATCTGATAAGGCTATAAAGACTAAAATTCAGTTTAAACATTTGAAAATAATTTTCTAAACATCACATCTTGAATGAAGTTTGCAGAACATAAATTCAGCCTGTACACATATACATATCCATCTCAATCCCGAGAGTCTCTTCTGTTGTGTTTAACAGCTCAAGATAATCCAATATGTTTGCCTGGCCAAATCAAACCGCATCTGTGTTTAAAATTCCTCTTTATTCAATCGGTCCCAATGGCCAAATTGACTCTGGAAAAGGCCACCAACGATTTTCAGTCTAGAAGAAGCCAGTCAAGGATTTATTTCCTAGTTCTCAAAGTCTTAAGTGAGGATTGAAGTTTTGTCATTAAATTCGTATATTTACTGTTATTTTTTACAAATGCGAGTGTCTGCAGATAATTGTGGTGTTTGAAGATATTGTACTTGTTATGCCGGAACCGAACGCTTGCCAAATCGTCACAAACGCAAACATGCGGATAGAGAGTTTGGCTTGGTTTGCGTGGGTTTGCAAGCGCTTGTAGCCGATCCGATCGGGTGTCGGTTTTTTGGTCGCAAATCAAAAGGAATTTGCCACAAGCGTTTGTGATAGGTACTATTTGTGAAACTAAATAACAATTTCATTAAAACAAATACCATTTACCTGGTACGATTCATATGAATATTTAACATCCACCACCTTCTTGGTCGTACTTTTCGTTTTATCTGACTTTTTTTTGGTTTCATAACAAAAATAGCTTAAGCCAAATGCTACGGCAGACACAAGTTCGACGTCCGTCATGTTTGCCTGTTGCCTTTTTAGTGACGCACCCGCAAACGTGTGGACGGCGACGTTTGCTTCTTCAAAAAAAAGGCAAGCGTTTGTAGGGGTTTGGAGTTTGCGGCAAATGGCAAGAGTGCGGTTCCAGCATTACATTGGCACAATCCTAATGAAGGTAGATGTTTCCACTGGTATTATTATGTTGATACAACGCTGTCACTTCGGCATTGTCATTGGTAGACAAATGAGTCAAAATATGTACTAAAACTTCGCAATTTTGGCGACAAACAGGGCAATGTAAACATGTAAGCTTGACTCCTTCTGATCTGTTTGAATTTGTTGGTTGGGACCGAAACTTCGTACAATAAAGAGAAATTTTAAATATATATGTACATAGTTTAATTCGATCAAACAAAGGTGGGATTATCAGCATGAAAACCACAGGATACATTTTAGATATTTCACTATTAGGACATTAGCCACCTATGGCTCTTGACAATATTTTTTCATAGATACTATTAAAATCCGTTCTCAAGATAAGCTTTAACGGGTTACATTTACTCTTACATAGGGTGTAATATACGTCAAATGATCCGCATCCAAACATCGACAATAACAAAAGGATTTCTCGAAAGGCTAATGCCCTCGCAGACTGTATCAGCCGATAATTTGGTCGGCTTCTTAATCAGTATGGAGAGGTATGCATATGCGGACATTACAGCGATTCAGTTTCGGCCGATAAAAAAGTTTGACGGGCTTCCCGATTCCCTTCAAAATAATCTGTCGGCCAACTATTGGACAACTGCTTAATCAGTGTTGGCTAACTTCCACTTGCGCACGCACGATTATTGTGTAGTCGTCTGGTAGTTCAGTTCACTCCGAGTTTAGGCGTCGGTCAGTCGTGTTTTTTCGGGTAATCAAGTAATTTGGAATGCATTGTGTAAAATTTTCCGCTAACTAATCTATCACACCAATACTCTTGGAATCCCTTCTTGATTGTTCTTCTCCCTTCTATGAGAGCAATAATAACATTTCTGGACAATGTTGATTATTTTCGTTGTGCGACCGCTTACTTCAACGAACTAGTATCGTTCGGTATAGTCATCGTCGGCCGGCTGTTGGCTAGTCTGCACACTCTTCACCGACCAAACTGATTAGTTGTCACGGTGTGCTCACTAGTAGGCCAACCTGACTAAACTAGCGGCCGATAGAAAGTCTGCAGTCTGCGGGGGCCCTTACAATTACGTCAAAATTCCGTAATGCGTACCTGTGACGTCATACAGACTGCCGATCAATTGACGCACTACCCATCGACAACCGCGGCCGATTCCCCGATTGAATTTAATATGTACCCAAGAATTGACCCTTAAAACAAGTGCTTACTCGATTTAGAGCACATAAAAGAATGAATTTCAAAAAATGCTCATTCATCACAAATGGACATGAATACAATAATTAAGCATGGTTCCTCATAAAATTGATTATGGTACTAACAAACAAGAAAATTTCACTCAAGATTCAAATCAAAATGGACTGGTATAGGATTTTCGCCGATATCGATATATAAGAGGCAGATATACTGGAGATATTCTTCGTTTCTTTTCGTACATGGTCGAGTGTATTTTTGTTCAGGAGAGTACGTGGGCCACACACACAACATATAGTTGATAAGTAGGCGTGTAAAGTTGGGCTGCTGACTACAGATGTATCTGTATACGCGAAAAGTATACCTGTACAAATTTCCATGCAAGTCAATACGACAGCCCAAATTGTACATGTGACTGTGGAATTCTAAAAAGTCTGCATGCACATTTTTCTTTATCCACCTTTATGTAAGCAAAGCATTATCTGTCACAGTTGCTACAAGTTTAATACAGTATGAGAAAGTCAAAACTGAAGACTTAAAATCGCTCTTGAGCTTCGTTTCATCATGATTTTAAACGTTTTTAACTTTGTTATCTATCTATATCAGTTGGCCTATATTGGCATATGGGCAGTCATATGGCCGATTCATATGTCGGTAAATTCGGCCGTTATACATATCGGTATTGGTGGATCCCTAAGCAAAAAACTTTATGTTACTAAAATTTTCTTCATAGCTGCGCTGCAAATTTTCAAATAAAGAAAAAGCTAATACTAAACGTCCTGCACATTAGTCCACATACTCTTTAACGTGTCAGCTTCACAACGCTTGTCCGATTCGGCAAAACTTTTCAGTCTGCAGTTTTGCAAAAACACTGCTATGGAATGGTAGTACCCTTGAATCTGCCAGGTTTCATTGTGCGTTCCTGCGGGAATATGTAAAATCTGTTTTCTGATGCTGCCGCATCTGTTGTACAGTTCCAGCATCATTCTAGGTGGTACTAGGATATCAGCTAGACCAGAGATGAACAGGGTGGGTATCCTCAACTGCTTCACTTTTTGATATGAGAGGAACTGAAAATAAGATATATTGGCTGTTATATTTGTATCCATTAGGGTAGAATAATAGCTGATCACCATATTTTGTGTTCGTTCTTTGTACGCTACAGATTTATTTTTTAATTGCTAACAACTCTTTTTGTTTAAAAAAGTTCATTTGCATTCAAAGAAAAAACGCTAGTTCAGCTACAGTCCAAATGGCTTGATGGATATTTTTTTTTTATATCGAAACAGCCGCGCAGACAGAAGCCTAAATGCCGGAACACCGCGGCTGCTATGATGATCCCAAATAAATTTTGTTAATACGATTTTTGAACTGCCTAAGATTAGTAGAACTGGGAAAGCCTTCTTCTTGTAGATTGTTCCACAATCTAGACACCCTCGGGACAAAGGAGCGGTCGTATCGGCCAGTTCTGGATGTACGAAGTTTGACACGGTTAGGATGGGACGCCGAAGTCAGGCGGGTCTGTCTGGCAGGCACATCGCGCGGCGGCATCATGGAAGAGAGCTCTGAGGAGCAAAGCCCGTTGGTGTAGCGATAGAAAAGAGCTAGATCGCCGACGGCCCGCCGGTGCGAAAGAGTCACGAGACTGTCTATTAGAGAAGAGTCGCCGATCAGTCGGACCGCCCTCCTCCGGACAGCATCGAGCATGGACAATGTAGTCGGGGCGGCAGCACCCCAAATGTGTGAGCAATACTCGAGGCTAGGCCTTATCTGGGCCTTGTATAGAGTGAGTAGGTCATGCGGAGAAAATTACTTCTTAGCCCTAAACAAATAGCCTAGCTTTTTCCCAGCTGCTGCAGCTATTGACGAGATGTGTTCGTGCCAGATCAGGTCCTCGGTGATCTGGACTCCGACCAGCCGAAATGAATGGCTCTTTGGTAGAACTCGGCCGTCCATCGAAACTGTATGAGCGCTAGGACGCTTTTTATTCGTCAAAGTACAGTACTGTGTTTTGGAAGCATTGAACTGTACAAGATTGTTGAGTCCCCAAGCAGTGATAGCCTCCAGGTCTCTTGTCAGAGAATAAGTCGTCGCTAGTCTTCTTTTTTCCAGCTCAGCGGCAGAGATCGGCTTGTCACTCTGAATTCCTGCATGTAGAGTGCTGTCATCAGCGAAGCTGTGGATTGGGTTGATCGTGCAGGAAAGGTCGTTGATATGTAAGAGAAACAGTGTTGGAGCCAAGACCGATCCCTGGGGAACACCCGCTTTGACGTTGTGGGATGAAGAGGAGAATCCGTCAATTACGACGGATATCTTGCGGCCAGAGATAAAGTCAGCCACCCATCTGCAAAGCTTTTCTGGGAGGCCATAATATGGAAGTTTGCTTAAGAGGGCAGCGTGCCACAGCTGATCGAACGCTTTCGTGATGTCAAGAGCAACGACATGAGCCTCACCATGAGACTGGATGAGTTTATTCCACAATTGCGTGACGTAAGCTAGGGTCCCCTGTGGATCGTTGGTGCCGGAAACCGTACTGCCTGTCGCTAATCAAGCTGTGACGTTCGAGGTAGTCCAGAAGCTCGCGATTTATGCACCTCTCCATCACTTTACTTATAACAGAAAGCAGAGCTATAGGCCTGTAGTTGTAAGGGTCGGTCTTAGATCCTTTTTTTGGGATGAGCTGGACATGAGCAAATTTCCAGTTTTCTGGGAAGATGCCGGATTCATAAGATATCTGGAAGAGACGCGAAAGAACTGGAGCAAGCTCCGCTGCACATCTCTTCAGTACAATGGCAGGAATCAAGTCCGGGCCAGAAGCTTTGTTGATTTCTATCGACAAGAGCACTCGTCTTACGGTCTTATGCCTGAATGTTACCTCCCGCATAGTGTGGGGAACCCTTTGAATTGACGGCACTTGGGCGTTGGTGGGGACGTCCATGGTGGAGTTGGCAGCAAAGATCTTGGCTAGCACTTCCGCCTTGGCCTTTGAGTCCAATACAATAGTTCCATCCTGACACGTAAGTGGTGGAAGGCTACTGTGTGAGAAGTTCTTTTCAATCTGCTTGACCAGCGTCCAGAAAGACCGACTGCCATTGTGCTGCGACATCACCTGTGCCTAACTTTTATATCGCTTGTTTTTGGCATTGCGAACCACTTCGTTATATTTGTTACTGGACTCGACGTCGACTTGTCTGTTCTCTACAGTGGGGTTTTGTAAGTAGGTTCTGTGTGCCTTGATCTTCTGCTCATGTCAAAACATATGAGGTATTGTTAGATTCGTCTTAGCTGTGAATATGTGATAAAATTTTATGTAAACAAAATGCCAGATTTTAATAAAATACCTCAACTTTGAAATCTTATTTCAGCGCTACAGATTGTAAAGTGAGATTTGTCTTGAGAGGGTGAGGGAAACTGGGTGAACTAAAGTTCTATAAAGTCAGATTAGCGGATTTTCATTGAAAATTTTGACTCTGAAGTTGCTATTCTAGGGGTCAAATGGATGTTGTTATCTGAGGTGCCTCTTGATTTGTCTTACCAGCGCAAGTGACACTGGAATTAGTGAATTTAGAACGAAAATTTGAGCTTCGAAATTGGTATTCCATGGCTTTAATTGCTAATAATCAAGATAGCAGATTTTAGACACAGAACTTCAACTTTGCTATTTCACGCCCCAATGGGCGCCCATGTCCTATTATGATACATTATATACATTATATAGAGCAAAACAATTTTACCTTATTCTTATAAAAGAATAATGGAAAGTACTGCAAAATCCTCCATCCTAGTAAAACTTTTGCCATATCTGGTATACTTGTAAAGGTGTTTTCAACAATCAAACACCAAACCTTGCCTACATATTCGGGCCTTATTGCTAGATCTATTGCTACAGCACCACCTGTAAAATATTCAATATCAAATAATTGAGATAACTCAAGATTATTCCTACTAATATTATAAATTCAGTTCAACCGATTTTGATGATTAATAGCATAGATATAGATTAGATCTTGGAGCCAGGTATAGCCTACTATAGTTACTGTGGGGGAGCTATTATTCTTTCAATTAAGGATAAAAATATGTATTTTTTGTATTGGGTTTTCTGACATAATGTCAGAGAAATTTTGGAAATTCCACCCCTAAGGGCTAACTTTCTTGAGGCAGTGTAGCAATACTAAGTAGTACATTTTGTCTATAATTTTTCCAGAAATAACAAGATGGTGTTGGACAGTTTTATAGGGCATCTTATCACTTTTTAAGTTATGTTTATAATCTCAAAAACTATTTTATCTGTGAAAATGAAATTTTCAGGGAGTTACTCAATCAACAGGACATGTCAGCTCAGGTCAGAATAGAATCTTGAAAACCCTTTTGGCTAGAAAAGTAAAATTTGGGAAAGAGGTATACCCTATTCCATGAGTTTCCATCATGGTTTGATGTCTACTGAGGTGAACAGCTGATCAACAAGTGACATTTTTGTGTTAGCCTGCAAGGTTGGCTATAATGAATTGGGAGTAAATCTAGCAGAGATTTGTTTGTAGCGTTTTGTTTTTCATATGTAAACGAACTTTTCTAAATAAAAGAGTACAAAATGAATCTGTAGCAAACAAGAAACCAAAACAAGATATGGCTCTGTCCATCTGGCATTGACGGATCCGTCATAATTATGTTTCCTTTGCCAATATGGGGAGTTTTGAAATATTACTAGATAACCAGCTGTCATTGTACCATGATGGATACTTGTGAAATAGGGAATTGTTAATGGACAGGACTCATCAGCTAAGTACCCATACAAGGAAAATTTGGGAAAGAGGTAGTTTATGAACAGGACTCATCAGCTAAGATTAGATTTTGCAACATGGCTGGATGAATAAGCACTAAGGGCAGACGCATATTGAAGTGAAAATATATACATATAATATATATATATACATATAATATATACAGGGTGTCCGCAAAGTTGGGGTTTTACTTTTCAGAAACAACTACCCTTGAAATAACAAAGGTAATGTGTAGTGAAACGAGGGCGACCAAGTAAAAAAAAAATAAAGGAAAAAGTACTCACCCTCCAGTTGACGAGAAGGGCTAAGTACGTCTCTGCCCGAAATCATACCGCTCCAACAGAAAATGAAATCAGCTGATGCGCTACCGAGCAGACGCAGGCAAACAAGGAAGGCAAAATGTTGCGTAAAAAGTCTAGGTCTAGGTTCACCATGCCAGCCCAAACATTCACCGAAAATGTTTGTTGAAAATGTGCCCGACGGACAGCGTGCGGATTTTCTACTGACCAAACATGAGTGTTGCGAAAGTTATTACGCGTGAACGTAGATTCGTCTGTCACCAATATGCACTTCAAAAAGTCCGAATTATTGTCATGTTGATGCAACAACCGCTCACAAAACGGCACTCTTGCTGGAAAATCGTCAGGTTGAAGTGCTTGTACATGTTGGACGTGAAACGGATACAGCCCCTCTTCACGCAGCGTTTGCAACACTTTAGTTTTTGATACTTGCACTCCTCTAGTCACGTCTCTAGTGCTTGTTACGCGATTATCTCTACACACGTGACCGTAACCGTCAGTTGAAGGTTGCATACTGACCTGACACACTGACCCTGACCCAGTTCTGTCGTCGGGTTGAGCTAGTGTCCTAGTACCACTGGGGGATGTCGCGGCTACAGGACGGTATTCAGATATTTTTGATGTTGCAGTGCCCTTTATCTCGGTTCCCTTAAGACATTGGTGTATATATGGTACTAAGAAAAATTGCTTATGTTTTCAAGATCTACACGTCCTGTAAAGGAAAACCCCAACTTTGCACACACCCTGTATATTATAACCACTTACCAAGAGATCTTCCGAACACAATAACTTCAGAATGATTAATATCACTTCTGGTGTAAAGATAATCTATAGCAGCCCTTGCATCAGTATAAAGTCCTTCTTCTGAGGGGCTTCCCTCTGACAAACCATATCCTCTATATTCTACTAAAAGTATATTGCATTGTAAATTGTGGTACAGCCCAACACAGTTCTGTAAGCGGTGCCCCATATTGCCTGCATTTCCATGAAAGAATACTATGGTAGGGGCTGTATGTTGTCTATCTTTTTGTTGTAATATTAAGTACATGTTTATTTGTATGCCATCTGCAGTTTTTGTTACTATACTTTCGTATGGAAGGTTGAATGTGGATGGTATTGGTACATAGACTCTGGAATGACTAGGTAACTCAGGATTGAAGAGTAGACTATCTTGAACTTGGTATAAAATACCTAAAAATGACATTTTGTATAGAGTTTGAGTCATCATATAACAGCATAATTTACCTGTGACAGCAAAAAATAACAACAGGACTGCAAATATTCCACCATACATATAATAAAGTAGAAAACAAACTATTAAAACTAGCCCTGAATAAGCCCAAACTTTAAGAATCATCCTAAACAAAACAGCAGTGATTCTTGAAAATGGAACATAGCCCCCCATTGTTTTCCTGCTTTTGTTACATATCACTCATAATATTCAGGAGAATTTCAATAGAAATGATTTTTATATAGTTTTTTCTCGTAATCATTTAGAAATTATTTTAAAACATGTTTATTTTTTGTTGAGGAAAATAAACAGCTTTTCATTTTTTCAGACAGACCATCATTCGATTTGACACATGACACCAATTGACATTGACGTTTAATATCATAACACGGGAGGAAGATGGAATGTAAAGCCATCCACAGACATCGTCCCTTTTCTATGACAGTTTTGTCCGACGTGTTGACCATGGTTGTGGATCTTGTAAATCGGATTGTACAAAGGATGATTAGTCAATCCGAGAAACTTCGTTAGTTATCGGAAAGTTTGGATCTACCATGGTCGATTTTAGAGTATAATCGGCCATGGATCTACATAATCGCAGCAACGGTTGGCTCGTCGGGCAAGATTGTTGAAAAAGGCGTCTGAGGCCGCCTTAAGTATTCCTACTGGTCTTATCTAGGTTTGTTGAAAGGTTATGTTTATTGTTTGTGTTTGTTTATATTTTTCTCTAATGAATTGACCCCAACATAAATAGGGCTAAACCTGCTTTTTTAATCTCGCTTTGTAAGTGGATTGTTTCAAATTCTTAAATAACTAACAAAAATGCTTATACTAACAACTTTATTTTGTTCAAATTTAATCGTTGATTATTTAGCTTTACTCAATATATGCTACATACACACTATAACCTGAAAATTTCTCTTTTAACGTTTAATAGCCCAAATATATTTGAATAAACAAACTGTAATTTCTTAAGAGAATAATAATAATAATGGAAAAAGCTTTGAACTTTGATTGAGGCGTGGCCTGTTTACATGTTTCCCATATGGATAGTGGACAAAACATATTTCAAATTATATTAATTTTCGGTAAATGACGTTTCTGTTCTTTTATTGGTTATGGAGGATTTTATAAAAATGTATAAAAATGTTTTCCCAGCTCAGTGATGCAAATGACGGTTGACGTCATATGGGCCTATATGTCACGGCCACACGTGCTAGAGGCTAGATCACAACAAACGTAAACATGGCAACATGGTGGCGAAAAATGCTTGTGATCAGTGGCGTAACAAAAACTGAGCTGTTGTTGTCCTAAAGTCATGAGGAATGAAAGGAAATGGCCAGAAAAGGAGTATGAAATTTAAAAAAATTCTAACTTCTGACTGACAATAGAAGCTCACGAGCTAGAGAGGCGTTCTAAAAGAGAAGTTTGAATTTTGATACGGATTCTGATCTTAAAAAAGTACTATTGGTCTCGCCAAAAAATAACCGGAAAAAGAACATACAAAAGTTAAGCATCGTTGTTGACATAAATGTGTTTCAGAGGATTTTCAACAAATTATATCATGATTTCATGATGTAGATCAATAGAGTATACGCCTACTTACGTAACTTACTTATAAATACTGACCTCAAATCATATAACCACATATCATATTTAAATTATACTTATAAGTGCCATGAAGTTACCATATAGAGACGGACATATAGGCTAACGACAAATTGGACACTAATGAGAGTGTTATATACATGTATTTCATCCTTCCATCATCGTCATCCAAATCAAATGTATATTATCCACGCCTGGGAAACAAAAACGCCAAGAAACAAGCATGTAATACAAAAATAAAAATGTAAGTGATTAAACGGTGGATCTCAATAGAGTAAATTTCAGATAATGTTGTGATTTTTATATTCTGAACCAATTCAATTTTATATTAATGAGAAGTAGCAAAACTTTCCCTTCAAAGTTCAATCGAAAAATTTTGTATCAATAAAGCCATTACGTAATAAATCAATGGATTTATCGTGGCGTGCTCCTACGCACTCTTTATACAGGGTGTAAAGTTAGTAGCGGAAGTCAGGTGATAGAGGGCCTCAAAACATATCGAACGAACCCCTATATGATGGTCCGGAATATTTGCAATTTTGTGAAATTTCGAAATAAAACGGCATAATGAACTTTCAAACGCAATTACAACTAAACCATTAGGTTTAGGGCTGTGATTTTTTTTTGAGATGAGCCAAATGGTTAGTTTTAGCAATGGTTATGTCACTTTTCAACAGAGCTAATTAGAAATCAACGCAAAAAATCTTAAATTCATTTTTTTATATGAAAAACCTCTTCCATCCCTCAACTTTGGAGGGCGGTAAAAAAAAATTGAGGTTGTATTTCATTATTAATTTTATTGTAAAAACTATTTCAATCCATGTAGAATAAACCCTGAAAATTTCAGCTTGCTACAATAAGTGCCTCACCTTAAGAAATCTGTATGTTTGACGCAGGTGGGTATCTATAGATGTAAACAAAAAATTCTATTTTACGAGCTACAGTTCAAACGACTTGATGGATTTTGACATATGAGGTACTGTCGGATTCGTCCTAGCAGTGTGAGTGATACGGTTTGTATTAACATTTTGTAAAATCAAAATGGCGGATTTTTTACGCAAATAACCAAATCAGCTTGATGAGCTTGGGCATTCAACTCGGCATTTCAGGTGCGGGAGCGTTCAATCTTCGGTCCGACCGAAATTACTAAGTCAGGCAATGGCCCAGCGCGGAATTTGTATCCAACGTTTGGCATCTGAGTAGAATCATGTCATATTCTCCGCGAGATTATGCAGAAATGCATTACTATTACGGTGCTGCCCTATGAAATGCTCGAGCAGCTGTTAGCATGTATCGGGAGTAAGTGGTTATAAGAGGTGGACAACAACCGGCGGTATATATCCGAATTACCGAGTTTTTCTTCGTGTCCATAATGCGTATATGGAGGGTCACATACTAGGCACTCATCGTCAGCTAGGAGCGCCGAGGATACGCCCAGAAGAAATAGAAGATATAATAGAAGCAGCCGAGAGAGATCCCACTATAAGCACCAGAGCCATTGCCCGAAACAGAAACATATCCCATACTTCAGTGCACACAATACTACGCTAGGAGAACATGCATCCTTACCAAGAGGATGAAACTTTTTTCGACAGCTTCTTATGGACAGATGAATCCAACTTTAACCGAAATGGAATATTCAACGCGCACAATTTGCATTCATGGAGCGTGGAAAATCCACACGCTATTCGCCGACTCAGCTTTCAACGTCAGTTCGGTGTTAATTTATGGGCTGGAGTACTAAACAAAAAATTAATTGGACCATATAAATTGCCCGCCAGGTTGAATGGTCCGTCATATCTTGCTTTTCTACAAAGCAGTTTGCATGAGCTGCTAGAGGATGTACCTTTGGACGTTCGAAGCCGCATGTATTTTCAATGCGATGATGCCCCATGCCACTTTGCACGGGATGTGCGGCATTACTTAGACAAAGCCTTTCCTGGGCGTTGGATAGGTAGAGGTGGACACATACGATGGCCTTCAAGGTCGCCCGATTTAAATCCTCTAGATTTTTTTATATGGGGGTTTTATAAGGGGATAATATATACATCTGAATATAGAAATGCCAACCAACTGCGCCAGAAAATTGATGAAGCAAAAATAAAAATTATGGAAAACGCAAATTCATTTCAAAGACTAAAGGACAATTTTATTAGAAGGTGTCGCTTGTGTATAGAAAATAATGGAAGACATTTCGAACATGTTCTTCAAAAGTTAGTTCAATTAAATTATCTTCCACATTTGTCGGTAAATCGCCATAAAGAGCGGCTAAACACAATTGGTTCTGTACTTATAGTAGGTAAGTATTCTATTGCGTTTCTTACGTTTATCGCATCACAACAACGAATGTGTCATGATACACTCATCGTAGCAAGCTGAAATTTTCAGGGTTTATTCTAGATGGATTGAAATAGTTTTTACAATAAAATAAATAGTGAAATACACCCTCAATTTTTTTCCGCCCTCCAAAGTTGAGGGATGGAAGAGATTTTTACAAAAAAATGAATTTAAGTTTTTTTGCGTTGATTTGTACTAAGCTCTGTTAAAACGTGACATAACCATTACTAAAACTAATCATTTAGCTCATATCAGAAAAAATGAAAGTCCTAAGCCTAAAGGTTTAGTTGCAATTGCGATTGATAGCTCATTATCACGTTTTTTTCGAACTTTCACAAAATTGCAAATATCACATGAACTATAAAATTTTGGACCACACATATAGGGGTTTATTCGATAGGTTTTGAGGCCCTCATCTGACTTCCGTTGATCCACCACTAACTTTACATCCTGTATGATGGTTCTACTTTTGTCCATGGGCGCCGATATAGAAAAATTCAGAGTGTTCGTAATTACAGAGTGTAATAATTTTAGCGTTCAGAATTGTTTGAGGTGCATGTTAAATGCGATCGGAAATAGAACGAAATAATCTTTCTGGAACGTCAAAAGAGCGCTTTTCTTCCCGTGCTTGAAACCTTGGAAATAAGAGTGTTGTCGTTCTCATGGTTCATTGCTTGTTTACCTTATATGGTTATTAAACAGTGCTCAAAGTTTCCAGAATATATATTTTTCAGGATAAATGGGCTACCCCGAATCTATCGCTTCTCATATAATAAATACACGGTTGCAGAAAACATGTTTGGAAATTGGTCGGCTATCTTTACATGTCTCTGTAATAATTTTTGCGTTCTAAAAATAAAATACCACCGTATTCCAGAGTAAAATTCATCTGTCAATCTATACTAAGTGACATATAAATCCGAACACCCAGTTTAAATGGTTTTATTTAATAAAATTTTGTATAAGTACCTAATGAAGCATAATAAGTAAATGATAAAAATTTCAAAATGATTGCACTGCTTTAAAGCCCTTTGACCTTTAATAATGTGTGGATGCACCCTGATGTGCTACGCATTCTCCAACGCGCCTAGGCATGCTTCTGATCAGGTGGTCAATGTCCTCCTGTGGTATCTCATTCCAGGCAACCACCAACTCCTCTCGAAGTGCTTCTAGAGTCTGAGGAGGACGTTGCAAATTGAGCAATCTCCTACCCATCATATCCCACACGTGCTCAATTGGGGATAAGTCGGGAGACCTTGGTGGCCATAGTAACAATGTGACATCATTATGTTGAAAGAAGTGTATTGTGACTCTTGCAACATGTGGTCGGGCATTATCTTGTTCGAAAGTTGGATTTGCCAGGGTGTCAAGATAGGGTAAAAGATGGGGTTCTAGAACATCGTGGATATAACGCTGCGCGTTCATGATACCTCGGATGAAGATTAAAGGTGACCTGGAACCATAAGCTATAGCATCCCAAACCATAACTCCAACAGTGTGATGAACATGTCTTTCAACAAAAAACTGTGGATTCCTCCTTTCACCACGTCGCCTTCTAACCCTGGCACGACCATCGTGCATGCCTAAACAAAATCGAGACTCGTCACTAAAGACAATACTGTTCCATTCCTGATCCCAGAGTGACCGTTATCTGCACCACTCAAGGCGATTACGTCGGTGTTCTCGAGTTAAAGCGAGGACCCAGTGTGGCCGGTATGAAAACAAGCCAAAACTTCTCATTCGTCGGTAAACACTTCGCATGCCAATAGGTCTTCCGTGTTCTGCAAACCATTCATTTGCAATGGACCTGGTAGTGGAGAAACGGTCCCTTAAGGCCA